GTCTTGTGAACAACTCGGGTTGATATTATCAATTAATAATACTATATTTGAAACACTTATCATTAACTCAAATGTTCTATTGGATTGATTTGTATGGAAAATAATCTGAATCATAAAATTAAATGATCGATATTTTGTATAGAATTGACGTTAAGAATTTATTGAACATTATTGTTCTATTTAAAATCGAAAATTATTTTCCTGTTTATAGTAACTAGAAATTTAATTTTTTTGATTTAGATTTTATAATTCATTTTTAATTGTGAATAGAGTTTAAAATCATAATGATTCATTAAAATCTTCTTACCTTAATAATAAACTATTATTATTCAAAGCATGTATTTGATATATCCAACAGAAAATCATAGAGCAAAACAATATTTTATACTTTTTATTCTTTCGTTGAAGAGTTAATTAAATAAATGACAATTAGAAAACTATGATTCTTAGTTTTTAATTAATCTATATAAATATTCAAAGTTATATTTTATTTTTCTTTTCAATAATTTCTACAAATAGCTAATATATTATCTTGATCTAATTCATTCATAGAATATACTTTAAAATCTCATTATATATAATGGCTTAATCAATAATCACGTTCTGCTGGTGGTCGATAAGGTAATTTTAAATATTGAAATATTGATTCTTCAGTTGGTGTTGGTACTAATCGACCTTCATTAACTTTATTTTTTCCCTAAATAAAATATTTATTCTATCAACAATAATAACACAAAAAAACAAGCAAAATCAAATTTACCATTCGAATAACACCAACATGTAGACGATGTTGTGATAAATACATATTATTTTCATCAGCTAATTGACGCATTGAACGATTGAATAACATTGAACCAGTAAAATAGAGTAGAGCACATGCATGTTCAGCATATGGAACAATTATAATATCAATTCGACGTGGCTAAAATTAAATTTACTAGAAAAGTGACGATGATCATCAGTACATTGATGTCGATCTGAACGTAAAGAATAATGGTGAAAACTGTGATGATCTTAGACTTATTTAAACATTTTTGATTAGAGAAAGTCAAGTTCAATAAAATAACTGAATTTTATAAAACATGACTAAACAATGAGAATTAACTAGGGAACTGCAAAATCACTTTTTTTAGTCCCGGGATCGGGACCACTTTGCAGTTCCCTAGAATTAACAAGAAATAATCAACTAACCTCATCGAGATTCTTATTCGTGTAAAGTTCAACAGTCAATTTTTCATTTGTGAACTTCACAAATCCTTTTTTTTCTCTATTTTTATAGAATTCAATAATTTTCTCGAAATATTCTTTCCAACCAAAACAAAATCACAATTAATTCACCATTATTCTTCGACTAGTGCATCTATAAATCTTACCAAACGATTTTCACCTGATAATTTACATACACCAAAATATCGAAAATGTGCTCTTAAAATACAAAATCAATTAAAAGAACGAACAAAAAGAAGTTTTTGTAATTTACCCTGGTTCTTCATCATGTTTATCTGTATAAACAAGATCATCAATAAGAAAACCTTTTTTTATTTTTTGGAAAAAAAAACAACAATATTTTCCTAATGAAAATTATATTAATAAAATATTAATTACCACTCGCTTTTAATTTATCAACAAGTGGAAACAGTAAATGTTCATGTGAGACACCATCACGATGACTTATTAATATATCACAATCACCACATGTTGCTTTACCTCGTCGATACGATCCACATGTTATTATTAATAAACCAGATCGAATAGATTCAGCTGCTTCTTTAACCTATTTAAAATTTAATTTATTCATAATTAAATTTTTTTTCTCTCATTTACATACAACACTTTCAATTTGTGTAACTTCATCTCTTGGAATACGTTCAAGAAATTCCGAACAATATTTTAATCCAATCATTTGATTATGTGTTAATCTAGCTTTGGTACGAAGATCATCTAATGTTCGATAGCCCTTTTGTTTTTTTTAAATATTATTAAAATAAAAGTAAAAAAGAGAATTAATGTTTAAAAAATAACATACAAGATCAACCCATCGTTTGGCTTGTGCTGGTCCAATACCCCAAATTTGTCCAAATAAATCCATTGCAGCAATATCAGCATCTGTTTGATATTCTTCTAATTTTATCATACTACCTGTTTCCATGATTTCAACAATTTTTTCAGCTAAACGTGGACCAACACCAGGTAACATTCGAATTTCCTATTAACAAAAAAAATATATATTCAAATATTTATTATTAATATATAAAAATATACTTCATAAGTAGTCACTGGTCTATGACATTTTTTTAAAGTACTTATAGCTTTTTGATAACCATATGCACGCCATTTATCAAAAGAATTTCGATATAAATTTGCCATTTCCTATTAAGTAAAACAATAAAATATAATTATTTTCAAAGTATAAAATTATTTCTTACTTGAAGTTTATCAATAACAGCTTGATTTGGATTGACTACAGGATCGACAGGTAATGCAGATGATTCACAACACAGCCAATTACCTTTCTAGATAAATATATTTATATGAAAAAAAAAAATTTTTTTTCTAATTGAAACTAACCGCAAATGTGATCTCTTTGGAAGCTAATGTCTAAAACAAAACAACACGAAAGATAAATAATTATCCTACAAAATAAATTGATTTTTATATATAAGAACCATTTGTATATGTTCACCTTCGGATAATCTTACATTGTTTTATGAAACATATTCTAAAAGTTGTATTGAAGTATAGAATTAAAAATTTTGATCCTCTACAGATCGTATATCAATAAAATCTCGTTTGAATAAATAAACTAATTCCTTATTGTATTTCTCAAAGACTTAGTAAAAGGATAGTGAAGATGTGTGCCTCAAAATAGATAGAATAATATAATTATCCGATGATTAACACGAGAAATTACATTGTCTTTCACATTTAATGAAGATTAATATTTATCAATGCTTTAATTCTATAATTTCTAAACAAATAAATACATACAACTAGTTCTTGATCAGTTTTATTAATATTTTCTTCTTCATCATAATCACTGTCTGAATTTGATCGTATTCTCGGAATAATTGACTGTTCATTACTAAGTTTTGTTCGAGATATTTTTTGATTAATTGGAATATTATCTTCATTTGATGTTTTCGTAACTTCAAATACTAAAGAACGTATAAATGATTCACGTGGTAATAATTTTTGAGCACGTAATGATTCACTAAGCCATCGTGTACTAACTAATTGTGGAATATATGAATTGGATGGATTAAGATGGAGAATTTTTTCTACAATAACATGTGTTTCAAGTGAATCTTCAACAATAACACAATCGACATTATCAATATTGAATGGTGTTATACATTGAAGAGAAAATTTGACACATGCTTCACGAAATATAGATAAACGACCTTTGCCTACTGAATTGGGCAATAAATGTACTCGACATGTGGCATTGATCATTTCTAAAAATAAAAAAAAGTTTTTTTTTTTTTTTAAATGAAATTATTGTAACAATAAAAAAGACACAAGGCGAAATTTGATAAGGTTATCTCATAGAATCTTGAATAGTTTTAATATTGAACTAAATGATTTATTATCTGTCGAACTTGTCCATCTCTATTTTTTCTTTTGAGTATGTAGACACACTACGAACAATTATCATATTAAATCAAGTTTTTTGATTAATTTGATTTCAGACAATAATACTTACACATGCTCGAATAAATGTTGGCAAGATCAATCTATCTAAAACAAAAAACAATGCATAATAAATTGTTTATTCTAATTTTATTCTTTTAGTTTGTTTGCACAAAACTGCATATATATATATATTCGATCCAATAACATCATGTCTAAAACACTTATATAGTTGAATATAAACTTATTTCACGTTCCCGATTATTTAGTGAACTCATTCATTGAGATAATTTGAAATCATATCAACAATAGTATGTAATTAATATGAAAAAATTACAAAATAAAATTATTTATGAGACTTCAA